TTCATCACGCTTTGATGATTCAGGATTAAACAAAGAAAAGTCATGTTTGTAACTATTTGTTGGATTTGTGTTAAATATATGACGTAAATGTTTAAAAACAGCAAAAATTGAAAAATGATCACTAAGATCCGCCTCTAGGGTACCGGCTTCAATAAAATAATCAAAAAAATTCATAAGACAGTGATCTATTGTTGTAGATGTTGATTCGGTTACTCTAGTTATTTTTGTGACTACCGGGGGTATACAAAGGAAGTTGTAAATTATCCGTATGAATATTTGTTGTTGATTCATTAATTGATCTGGTTATTGGAACATTGATAAAGACTTCCCCAGGTAAGTTGCCAGTTATCAGTGTGAATATTATGCACCCACTGACTGAAAGTGCACACAGACTACATATTGAACAAGGTAGGCATCATAGGTTAAAAACCTCATCTTGATCCTATCTACAGGAAACCACATTAAATGAAATATGAACTTAATAAGGGTCTTTCATTTACCTCATTTTGAACATAGTTACCCAGAACCCTGTGCCATTGTGGGGGAAGGCTTGAGATTACCCATAGACATTTCCTCCCTATTGGAATTGTCCTTTTCTAATTTCTTAAGCTTTCTGTATATGTCTTATTAGTGCCAATATATGATCTTCAAACCCTTGCTTTTCTGCATGTAAATAAATTTTTCTTTATAATTGTGACCACTGTGTTGTGACATATGCTAGTGAAATATCTGAGCATGGAGGTAGAAAAGAGATCTGAGCAACCGTATCATATACCGGTAGTTATATGGATGATTATGACAATCACATTTTACAATCTTATGGCAGTTGTGAAAACTAACGAAAACAGTCGCTTGTAAATGTACATTGGAAATACACTTAACGGTTTCGGTGTAATGTACAAGGTGACAATTGAATGTTATTTTTCGTTCCAAGAGACTGTTTTCGGGGGACATCTTGAACTTGTGACATGATTCAGAGAGATGTATTTCGGTCATTTTCTGATTTGAATGATCTTGCATACGGACGGCGAATCTGACATTATAGGTTATCTAACAGGTACGTTGCATATATTTTGTTTCATAAACTCACCTTTCAACCACGTTTTTCCCGATCATGTAACTACGGGACACCAAAACATACAAAATTCTTTATTTTTTTTATCCACGCGCCCTCTAAGTTGACTTTTAAAAATTACTTTGGTCTCGTGCGATTTCTCGTGAGAGTATCTCATGAGATCTTCGTATCTTTTCAGCAGGCACAATCCCAGAATGCTTTGCAGCATACATTACAGTTGCTAGAAAACATTTGGAATACTGTTCGCTCTTGTGTTCTGTGTAGTAACCGCTATACGTACAGTGAACAAGCTACATATAGCTGAATTCAGACGCCGGAACATGGACGACGATCTCAACGACCCGATTGATCACGACTTTTTTGACGACGACGATGGATCACGGGGAAGCAGTCCAGAAAGGTCGAGTCGTGACAAGCAGCAGAAAAGGGGTATGTCGAGGGAAGGTAAACAAAATGGCGCTCAGAAGGGGATGGAGTGGACCTCTTTGGCACTGAGTGCTAGATCGACATCGAGTACAGGTAGTAGAAAAGAAATTCAAGCGAAAATACCGACCGGAACTCCGCGAGCTGGCGATTATATATATTCTTCTGATGACGATTTTGACGAAGAAAGCAACGGTAAAAGAGCAACTGATATCATTAACAAACGAGACCATTCACCGGACAGTCACAAAATTAAAGATCCGGCACGAAAAGAACCCAGTTTTTCTTTAAAAGACAGGCGGAATTTGAAAAGTGCTGGTCCAAGACGCGATAAAAGCCCCAAAACAGACAGTCCCAGGCGGAATAAGGAAACAAGTAAGAGAAAGAAAGCTGAGAAAAGCAGAACACACAATGACAGCTACAGCTCGGAAAGTGATTATTCAGATTCATACTCTGACAGTTATTCGTCGTATTCATCTTCGTATACTTCGGCTAGTGACTCTGAAAGTGAAATAACCGATGTTTCACCCTTACCTAGTCCTCATCAAAGTCCGCGTAGGCAGAGACGTCAAAAGAAAAGTGTTATGGACACGTTACAGTCTGGACTGTCTCCGAGTAATACAGGTGAGTCACCTAAACATGTGACGATTGAAGCCAAACCGCCAACAAGACCACAGTCTGCAAAACGTACGCCAAGGCATAAAGATATGGTACACTTCACCGGTATGACTCCTAATGGTAATCGTGACAGACTTTTACACAGTGCAGATAGTAGAGAACTGAGTTTACTTCTCAAAGCAGTTCTTGAATTAGACGAGAGTGCTAAGCAAACTCTACGTGCAGGTGTGAGTTCAGACTCTACAAAGAAAGTACTTTTTAAGAAGGGCCAGCAGTCACAAAACCGCAAGAATCAATCGTTCTCTAACGATAGGGTGAGAGAAATTGATGGGGAGAATCAGCGTTTGTTGGGTGAAATATTGAGAGTCAATCAGTCGAAAGCGGTGGCGAAGAAGAAATCTATGGTACACCGCGAACCAAAACTTTTAAGTCATGCTGCTTTAAATAGAGCTAGACAACAACGCAAGATAGAGAGAGAAAATTTTGTAAGTATGCTAAAAAATCATTCTGTTATACACAGCTGGTTATACATCATCATCAGAAACTCTAGGAGTAGCAGAAATGGGGAAAAATTTGCACAGGAAGAAAAAATCCTGCAAGGATCAATAACAATCAAACAAAATTCTACATATCTAAATATTAGGGGAATATTATTTCACAAAGTAAAAAACATACAGCAAATTCATAGAAAAATTATTTTGCACAGTTTTTATGTCATTTCCCCACCCAGAGTTTCTAATAGTTCACTGAAATTGAATGAGAATATGTTTTATTTAAATATATATTTAATATAAGTTTACCGGTCCGGGGTAATCATTTTTCATACACACATACATTTGGTGAAAATGTTAAGGACAACACTTTTAGCTTCTACTAAAGGGGTAAAATATATATCAACCCACAGCTGGTAATACTACTAGTACATATAGTAGTATTATAGCAAAATACAAATTTATCCTTCTGATATTTACATTTATTGGACAAGATGCAAAGTGAAAATTATTTTCTCAGAATAATTTATGGTTTGGACTTTGATAGCAAAGATGATATAATTTATTGTACCAAATTATAAAAAGTAATTGGTGATTAATATAAGGTTAATAGAAATCTCTGAGGCAATGTTACAACCAATATTCAGTTTGATACTGTTACAGAATGTACTGTTTGTATAATACAACACACCAGTGTAGCTACTATGAAAGGCCTCGAGTGACATAACTTAATTAAAATACTATAATTGCACGTGTTAGTGTGAGAAAGTAGAAAATGGTGAATATCATTAAACAAGTTTGGTTCACATTACAGAAGTATATACAATTACATGTCTATATCTTTTCACATTCTCAGAAAATCAATTTTTATAATCATGCGAAAACCAAATATATTTCAGTCAACATTGAAATAATCTGAGAGCAAGTAATGGAAAATTGCAATTACCTCGTAGATAGTGTTGAAATTTGATATACGTTAATATTTTAGTTTTGTCCCTAGGTTAAAAACAAAACTTGATAAATAATAAAATAAATAATACTGCAACTAACTATATGATTTACCGGTAGTTAATTGAATTATCTCAGTAAGCAATTACGACGATTGGGAAGCAAATTGTACCTGGAGGTAACGGAAAGTTAGGTTATTAATTAATTGATGCAAATCACCATGAATAATACTCCGGGGGCAATTCCAATTTGCATTGGTGAATTGATCATCAAAAGAAAGAAAACAATTGCCCCACAGATTTTAATTGAATTGTTTTTCGCCATTAGTCTTATCATGGTCTCTGCGGGGTAATACACTGACTGTGTTCTAGAAACCAATACCTTTTCACCGTGATGTTTCCAGTGTATATTAGATTACCGCAGGTAAAAACACTCCATTATGGATTCTTTTGTGTGGGTACACTGAAGCATTCAGAGTTGCAGGCTGTGTTTCTACTCAACTGACTAGGAATAGATCACTCAATTTTATGTCAGTGGTTTGCAGGTAAAATAAATACTATCAGTTTTTACATCATTACGTGTGGAGATAAGATGGAGCTAGTAAAGAGATGGTATTGTTTATCTATAATGCTGTAGTTGCTGACACAAAGATGTATAGCTACATGTTTGTACAGAGGTTAGAGTCACGTAGAAAATCCAGTATAATGATAGAAATTACTGCAATGTACATGTAAAGTAAAATAGTACCGGTAATGTCATGCAAACTAACATACTAGTTAGTAGTAGTAATAGGAATTTTTCCTCCCAAAAAACATTTTGTACATTCAGTAATTTTATCAAGTAATTTTATTTATTGCACAATAAAATTAATTATATAATAATACTGTGGAATACTTTATTTTCGCTGAAAAGACATTTTGGGCATTTTGCTTGGAATTTATTTTCACTGATTTTTCATGAGTTTAATGTGAAATATAGGAAAAAAAGTATATTCACTGGATTTTATTTTCACGGAATCATCCCTTCAGCGAAAATAGCGAAAATAAATTCCAAGCGAAAATAAAGTATTCTACAGTAGTAGTTATTTTACGGTATTGTTTAATTACACATGAAACTACTTGGTTGGAGACTGCAGTGCATCTGTAATGTTGGCTGACCACTACATGTATATTGGATATTTACCCGAGGGTAATTCAGTGAAAACAACGTCAACATACTACAATTCATACCTGTACCATTGCTTTTCCCATGCATAGGCACCGCAATGAGTTTATACTCTGGCTGTTTGCCAGTTAGTGTCAATTCCTACCTGTTGGCTGATAGCGGATACAATTACAAACAACTACTAAATAAATGAAATGCTGTAAATGTGCTTATGTAAAACATAGACGCATGATATTTTGGTAACAGTGATCATGGTTAGAGTTCATGTTATATTGAGGGTTACTGATTCTCCATTAATTTGTTAAATTGTAGAATTGTATCTAGGGATTACCAATTATAAACATTCTCAACCAGTGTTGATTGATAATTTACAACCAACGTTAGTACGAAATGGTGGCTTTTGTTAGTTTTTGAAAAGGCTCTTTGCCCCCATTGTTCATTTTAATGTTCATGTTTGCAAGTGTCTGCCTAAATATAATGAGTAGTTTTTTACTTTTATTGCTAGTCTTGCTAAAAAGTTCTTATCTTTAAATTGTTATTTTTGAAATCACATTATGTGAGCAAGACCTTATATCGTTTGATTACCATTTGACAGGCAGGTAACCATGGGAACCAGATAATAAACACTGCCATGCTGGATGATGAACGTAGAGGATAATTGATTTACTTGGCTGGAAACAATGAATGTCTGTGTGTTTATGACGTATAGAATCCATGCGTCACCTTTGGTCTTGTCTCCTATATAAATACTGCCCAAATATTAAGGGACGTTGGCTTATCTAAATATCAACTGAATAAACAAAGTTCATATCGGGGCAATCGATTTGTTTAGTACTAATCTGTTACCGATGGCGAAGCAAATGAATGGTAGTGTGCTGAACAAAGCAGAGATTAATTTCATTTGGACATCACAAGCAAAATAATTGGTTCTAAATTTTTATGGAAGGTAGCTAGCAGGATACTCCGGCATATAACAACAGTGGTTTAATGATTATTTACGGTTGGATGATTTACACAGCGCAGTAATTTCAGGTCTATTGTAACTAAGATTTGCATTTCAATAAACTGGGATAAAAAACTCTGTGTCGCAATGCTTGCTAACCTACCTTGGTTATGCGTGACGTTTCAGTTGACCTCAAAATATTTTATTATTTATTTATACCTTTTCAGTTTTGTAAAATTTATTTGTGATCTTCTTGTTTGTTTTCAGTACAGGCATTTTATATATGTTAATGTGTTTAGGGTGTAGTTTTTGTTACATGCATTCCACTTGAGTGGGTTACTCTACGTTTTACTTCATTATTGTACTGGGATTAAATAGCTGTTGTTGTATGGCAGTGTCCCATGTTCTAATGATTCCCAGAACCTTGTTGTTGTGAATTGCTCAGCCCATGCCGGGGACACAGGCAACGTACATACATGTATATGGTTAACAAGTGTGAAGAATGTAATTTCTAACCGTAGTTAGCATCCTCAAATGCACACTGATTGACACTGTGCCAGTGAAATCAGTTATGGTAGGCATTTGTGGTGGGCACTGACTAGTATTGATTTTTGTGACATTGAACATCACACATTGCAAATTCATTGTGTGTACCAAAAGTACTTGAACATTTCAATCTTTCATTGCACCTAAATCAGAGAATTCACAGTAATTATATTCATATATTCATTTTGTTATAAAATAAATGTTGGCGTTGATTTCCACCTACATCGTGTATGTACATATATTGCGTTAACTCAAAAATCTGTTGAATCCCAAACCATTTATTTAATAGTGCACTAATTTTGTAACCACATTTCTGATAAAAAATAAACCAAAATTTGTACAGCTCCCTTCCTACTATGAACCCAATAACAGTACAATTAAGATTCAGGAATTACTTTTATTTAGAATTGATACCTTTACTTCAATACTTTTATACAGTTTGTGGTTAGCCTGTCAACGAGATTATTAAAGTACATCTATGCTCACTCAGTCAGTACCAGTAGTGAATGTTAATAATCTTGAGAAAAGTCAGTGATGTATGTGAGAAATATCTGCAAAGATATTACAACAATCCATTGAGTGCCCTGAATATAGATGTATATCATTCAATCATCATCCTCTGTAAAGTTAAACTTGAGAGGACAATAGAACAGGCCACTCTTTTGCTTCACTAAATAAGACCAGCATTTTCCAAAAGATTCTTTATTATTATATTAACATATGGCATGTAAAATTTATGATAGAAACTAATTCTTTTAAATATCAAATAACTCTGTGTGCATGTACAGGTTTGATAAATACAACATACTGAATCTTTTTTTTTTACCTGCAGAGCCTTGGCTTTTACCATTGATGTTGAAATAATTCATTTGAAAAGCTCTGCCAGACTCTTTGTATTCTCAATGAATAGAGACATCAATTTAACAAATCTTTTGATAATGCTTGTAGTTTAGTTAAAATATATTGACAGTCTAAATCATGGAGAAGCTATCCGGTTCGGTTATTTTGCAGCAATGTGACGGAATACGACTAGCAACGATGTGTTGTGTGATCAGTAGTGTTTGAATTCAAATTTTCTCTGCTTGTCTCAATGGTCAGATTAATACTTGTAGTCTGTGATGAGGTGCTCTTCTTTGGGTATGCAGTAAAGACGTGTTTGATACAAAGACAAATTAAGATTCTTTTTAGGTTTCATCTGTTGTCATGGAAACAAGTTTGTGACAAATTTTGATGCATTTCTAAAAATATTAAACCCATCATAAATTATTTTTTCCTGCTCATGTTTATTTGACATGCCTTTCACAGATTTTGTTTGTATATGGTAAAAAGGTGAGACATTTTAATATGTACATTAGTTTCTTTTAGGGTTCAATAATATTGAATGACAATCAGTTGTTCTTAAAAATATCAAACACAGTCAACAATTTGTGTGCATAATGGTATATACCTATACCATTTTCAAACAAATAATATGGTTATAACACATTTTTAGTTTTAAATAATGGTGTTTGTTATTTTGTTAATTGAGGTTTGTGACAGTCACTTTGTTTTTTGTCATGTTTCAACTCACTTTTTCCCCTGTTTAACCCTTTGCGCCCCAATGCGGCCATATACGGCCGCTTATTGATATATTATTCATACGAAGTGAAATTTAAAGTTTCATCTTTTAATAAACATCAGACAATCATACCTTGAAAACTTCATATTGCCAACTTTTTGCTTTATGTTAATTAGTTTTGTGACTAAACTATATTGAACTTGAAATTCTAAAAGTGAATAATACTTGGAAGCTTTCCAGCATTCATGTGTAAATTCAGCCAATTTACAGTAAAAGGAGTCTATAGTGTCTTTGACAATGACTTGTTTATTCTGTCTTCAAAGAATGTACTTTCTGTTCCTTTAGTTCTTTAAAGGATAGTTTCAGGCCGTACTCATTTTTTGTGAAAAATCTACATTGTTAAAGCACTGCAGTCGTTGCAATGCAACGTTCGATATGAGACCCATAGCGACGTAAAAACGCATGTAAAGTGTTTGTTTATGTAAAATTAAAACTTGCGCTATACGATGACAGTACCAAACCACATTAAGCAGTGAACAATTCAGACCCGTTTTACCACCGTTTTACTCCATATTAGCACCCTTAAACTCTTTCAGTAGCATTGATAGGAGGCCGCAAGGCTTAATGAACTGTTTTGCAAAAAACAATTACATAAACTTCTTATTCACCACTGATGACTGAGTTATTGTGTAACAAAAATTTGTCCTTAAAAGAAATTGATGTTCACCCATTGACAGGGACATTTGATATAAAGCATAATGTGTTAGCTGCACATCCCAGTCACAATTACAATGAAGGTTACTTGAATGTAAAACCATTTAGTAAATTATATTTAAACGATGTCAAGACTTCATGCAGTTGGGAATGATTTATGTATATGTACAGATCCCATACGTGCAGTACTGAACTGAACTCTCAACACTTGTACCACTTTGTTCTTGTTGCAAGTGGCAGGTAGATACTAGTACATTGAAGTACAGTACAATGTATTCCAAAAAGTAGATTTTCATTTAGTCTCTAGACATCTCCAAACAATGTAAAGGAATACTTGACATACAAACGTTGATTTATTATCCATCTAACTTTATAATACTACAGATTGTGAAGAGCGGATAAAAACAAAATTAACACAAATGAAAAAAAACAGTTTGCAGAATATGTCAACAAAAACTTCTTACACCTGTGAAGCCTGATAATATTGAGTTTCCAGGCAAAAAGACGGAAGTGAGCACTTGATGTCTACTGTTTAAATCTTTTTATACATGAATGTGTCAATATTGTACATACTCGTCATCAATTATCGTTAAGTGCAGTGTTATGACCGAGACTGTAATTAGATTACAACCCTTCAGTCATGGAGTAATGAATAACTAGTATCAAATTTGATTACGATATAAAGTCTAATAAGTGCATATGATTAGATTACTGTAAAATTACATTCATTTTATGGTAGTCATGGAGACAGCATCTTTGAATTCACACGTCAAGATGACTGTTTTCACATGCCAGTAATGTAATTTCCGTGGTCATTATTTAAAGTTGTATTGTCGACAAAATTTTGTTTGAAGCCTTTGAACCAGTATGATAAATACAAAATATTTGCAATGTACCGGTATCCATCCGCCTTGCCAATAGCCAGATATTGAGATTTGATTCTTAGTCAAGTTACTTCATATTAGAAGGGCTTTCAACTAAACTTTGCCGACAACATAATTTTAATACCCAAATTGACTGAAGACAGTTCTTTTAAACAGTACCGGTATATAGAAACTAGCTTGTTTTTGAACGTTCTTTCTATAGCCATATAAAACAACATGTAGGTGTAAGTTAAGACCGCTTCCTCACTGATTACCACTAGCAAGCTTTGCTTCCACTACATTTACCTTTCCATGGGTGATGAACTAATTTTAAATGAAATTTTTTTTTTTTCAGCATATTATACATTGAAATGTCTCTTAACTATTGGTTGGCAAAAGTGCCATACATTTCGCCAAATTTAAAAGTAGATGATTGTTAGGGGAAGTCAGTATATGTGTCTTTCTCAATAACAGTGTATTACTGATGTGTAAACTGTGCAAAATCTACAAACTGTTTTTCTCGAATTGAAGCCTCTTATTGAGTAAAATATCTGTATTGGTTAGATTTTATTAAAAGTACACCAGACTCCCTAGTTAAGCTATATTGTTGAACTTTGAACTGACTGTCATACATGTACCTACCAGACTGCTTAATTACCATGCCACTCACATATACAACAACGTTTGAACTAAAGTTGAACTTGGGAAAATAAAGTCCTAGTGGGACAAAGAAATGTCATGGGATTTTATTTGTTAACCTTGCTTGCTAAGACTTTTTAGTTTGCCGTTTTCAAAGTTAAAAATCATTTTATAGAAGTATTATGGATTACAGTCACAGAAAAAACTCAGAGACCCTAAGTGGTTTGCTTCAAATCCGTTCTGTTGTCACTGAACCCTTCGCTGCATTGACTCTTATTTCAGTAACATAACAGCAAGCCTACATTAGTGTTGTCATGGAGTTGTTCCATTGTTAAGTATCCTAGATCATTGAATATGATGTCTTCATTCATTCTCTGTTGTAGGAATTGCTGAAAAGAATACAAGGAGCCAAGCCAACAACTTATCTGAAGAGAGACTCTCTGCTCAAAGACCATGAGAGACAGCTAACTTATGGCTTGCAAGTCTCAAACCCAGCTACAAGTACACCGGAAAGGCCAATGAGTGGCAAGAAGCAACGATCAACGGGTGAGTTGCTTTCTTCCTTCTGTCCGTCCGTCATGTAAACACAACCAACACTACATACATTTGTTGTTTTTGCACTGTGGCTGTCAATGTGCTGTGAACGTCTTGCATGAACTTGTTTATTAAATTATTTTTCAGGAGTTTACAAATGTTTTTATTTGTACGAGTGGGAGGTTGATAGGTTACCATAGCAACAAATAACAAAGGTGTAGTCTTCTGCGGCACACATATGCAATGCATCGAAATTCTAGAATGTAGTACAAAAGAACATTTGTTTTATTATTATTAATAAACAACACAATTCCTTTGGGGGTCAGCACTTGTAGAGTAAAGGAAAGAGTACAGGAGGTTTAGATAAGGATAAATTAATCACTGCAGTTGTACACAAATCTGTTTGACCATGATAAAAAAATTGTGATTGCGGCGATAACCCCACCTGTCCGTAAATCCCAACTTACATAACTGTATCAAATTGTACAAAAATATAGCGTAAACCATTTAATTTTCACTGCTGGGACATTTCACGATTTCACAATTTTATGGCCTTTGTGATGGCAAAATTTCATGAAAGTCAGTAACAATTTCACTGTCTTGCAAAATGAAAACTGTTAACAGTAGGAGACAAGACAACTATTAGTATGATGCAAGTACACATTCCTTACAGCCACAATAACACAACTTTTGTTTTGTATTTACAGTTCATGCATATACACAATCCATGGGTTCCAGATCATCCAGTATGTCCAGTCTACAAAGTGGTATCAGGTCACGACCTGGCAGTGGAAGACCAATGAGTGGCAAAATACCACCAGAACGACCAAGACCTGTTTGGGATGACAGATTTTACATAGCACAAGAGTAGTACTGAAAGGTTTCCATTGTTACAAGAAATGAATACATAATTAACTGCTCAGTGCGCTACCCAAAACAAAATAGTGCTTATTTTTTTTCTAAATTTATCTTACAAAAATTGCATTTTATTGAAAATATTTGTACTTTGTAAAAGTATAATAGAGCTTTGAATACAAAAAAAAACTAGATACTGGATATATTACCTAGCGAAGGCATTGTAAATTGCATTTGTTCGTACATTTCGTATGCCTTTTTTTTTCTCACAGCGAGGTCTCATTCCCATTGATATGACCAATAACAATTTGTTGTGAAGTCCATTAAATAGTCTCATTGTTTGTTTTTTTATGAAGGCCAGGTGTCAACATTGTGAAAGAACATAGTGGTAAGCTACATTGTATTTCTTTGAACTTGTTATCCCTGTTCCTGTAAAGGTCAAACAAATGTGTGCAGAGTTTACATGTAACTTAACTTTAATGCCCTCCAAGGAAAATAGACAACTGTCTACAGGTAGAACACAAAAACAGTTATATGTACGAGATATACATATAATGCACAGATGAAACAGTTATAAAACCAGATGTGTATAATTGAGTAGTGTTAGCTTTTTCAGAACAGCTCATTTTTGTCTTATCATCTGCATTATTGATTCTTATGAACTAGCGTTATTTTCATAGTTAACATGTTTGTTGCACAGTTATTGCCAAGCAGGTGTCTTTTTTATCTTCAGTGAAATGCATTCCTTCCATGAATGGAATACGTGTCCCTCCAAGTCTGAGTAATATATACCACAGTTTAATGATTGTAAATGCACTGTTGTAATTAAAGTCAAATTATCTATTCGTGATTTTTTTTTTAAAAGTCTGCTGCATAATTACATAATCCATGTCACGTTCATAAACTTTGCCTGTTCATATTAAATGATATCTGGGTAAAGCAGTCATTTTCTGTCAATGACCTTGCCCAGCCCTTTCATGCTTGCCAGGAAATGCATGCATTCTGGGCTCATTCTGTATAATAACTTTGCATTGAAATACAGTTTTGTATGGAAAATTATGTTTCCAACATAGTGTAATTGATATCAATATGCATTGAACTTTTAAAAATATTTTGATCCATCCTGCTTACAAACCTACCTTGCATACTGGTAACCGCAGAGTAAACTACATTTTTTGTAATATCAGAGAGCATTTCATACAGGTTTCAAGTGCCTTGGCAATTTTTTTAAATACATTGTGTTATTCATGAATATGATTTATTAGTTATGAACTTGAAGTCTGCTTTCCAAGAAAAACTTATTTTTTAACGACACAAATAAATTCAATGGTATGTGTACATTACCTTTTAAATTCCTAGAACACAAGTATATCACACAATAAATTAAAAAATTTAAATACAAATTTACTGATGTATTTGTGACTATTCTATTGTAAATAATTGCTATAGCTTGCAATAAAATGTAAAAATTACTTTATTCATAGTTTTGTATTCATGCATGTACCAGATCACTATTTGATCTTCAGACATTGAAGGTGATCAGCGAACATGCCATGGCTGCTAACTGCAAGTGAGATAGAATGTTTATAGTATTTCGCTAAAGTCAAGAACCAATTGTCATTTTAGCATGTAACAATATGTGGTGTTCATATGTGGCATCGAGGAAACTGAACCCAGGTTTGGTATTTCTGTGTCTAAATAACATTGAGAAGATGGCATGTGTATCTATTAAGAGAAATAGTTGTAGATATATGCCTAGCAAAACATGTCCTACAAGACAAGCACATAAAAAACTTTTCACCAGACTTTAGATCTTTGTGTATTTGTTTCTTCTTTACATGGTAACTAAAGTAAAAACATTTCTCACCTCTGTTAATGACCTATGTTAAGTCCTGGGGCAATTCTCCACTGCAGGCTACTTGTTCCGTACTTAATTTATTCAGTAAGAATTCTAAGTTTTCAATCACTGATTGTGAATAATCGATTGTTGCAAGGGTTAACGGAGTCGCCGTGTATACTGCTTGACTGAACTTATTTTACTTATGCTTGATTCCTTATTGAAAAAGTTTTAACATGGAATGGTTTACATGCAGTTTTAACTGTTTATAATGTATGAATGGTTTAAGTAATGCATGGGTCAAAAACTGAGCCCCATCTACAAATGAACGTTGCATTGCAATAGTATTACAATACTATTGTCTAAAGTATGTGAAATCTGATGTACTATTGCTGTGGTGAAAAATGTTAAACAAAAGGCTATGAATTGCACGAGTCGTGGCTGATAGAGGGCGCTATTGTCAAAGTTAATTCTAAGTACTGGTAATACAGATTCTCCAGTCCTATCAGTGTATTGTCTTACATGCATACCCAAATTAATGACCTGAGTTCTCTTTCTTTCTTAATACAATTAGACAGAAGATGTTTTTTTTTTATTGTGTAGGAAAACAATTTCCAACTGCAGAGCCCCTAGATGCAAGATATTATTCAGATTCCCGGGTTTGTCATTCTAGCCTTCAAGAGTATTTGAAAGCTATGATTTAAATATGTATTAACCAATCATTTAGAATGAGTGGGGATCAATTTATAGTACAAGTAATTTAATTGATCCTATTGATTCATTTTCTCAAAATGATTGGTCCATCAGCCAAGTTCTGAAATACAGCATTAGGAGTCCTTTCCTGCTGACACCATAATAAAGCAGTGTTGTATCAAAAATAAGGTGGATTCCAAAACCAGCTCACTGATTGGACAATGGCAGAAGAATTCCAGGTGTTTGTAGAAGTTCAGCCAATAGGAATGCATAATACATCATCATCTTGTATCTTTGTTCTCTGTATATGCCCAAGTAGATTCATCACCATGATCCTGCCAAGATAAGCATTACAGACAGGATTGGAGAAAACACGTGGTTTTGTATGAAAGAATTGACTGGCAGTTATTTGAATATAAATACCTTGAGTTGGATACCAATTGGTGACAATTTATCTCTCATTTCATCACATGCCTTCAATAAAACTTGCCTTTCTTTTTTTTTATTTTTGTCCATAATTTTATCTGTGGAGATATACATAAAGTGTTACTGCGATTTGTCGCAAGTATACAGAGACTACCAATGCCATAAAATTAAAACTATGGGAAGGGCCCCCCACATTAAATCTGTAGTGGTCTCTCTATTTATTTTCAATAGTCAGAATGAAGATGAATGTAGTGACCAGTAATGGTTACAAAATCAAATTAAGCGAGCAATCAAAAAAGGAGAAAAAATGAATTTGCTTAGTTTAGAGATTTACACGTGGTAAACATCTCAGCAACATAGAAGGCTCTGTGACATAGCTATGCCCACCAAGAATACTGTTTATAAATCAGCCAATACATATAAAAGTGCACAAGAGATCTTGACAAGCCTGTCACATAGTGATTCTCAATGGTTTTATGCAGTTCATACTATTTGAACAAACAAATGTATCATCATGAATTATTCATTTTTATTATGATACCAGCTTTTTAGATTTCTCAAAATTGCAAAAAAAAAATAGCAACAAAAAATAGAACTTGACGTGCATTTTATAGCACCCAGCCTGATGTTATATTTGTGAACCTTCTTTAATACAGAAATTGACAAAGAATGTTGAATGCCCTAAGCAATATGCAGTGACTAATAACTCACCATGAGGAGCAGCATAGGTTTCGCTTGGCGTCTTACACAATGCAAAGTTTCTAATTTTCTTCCTAAAATCCGTCACCGTATCCATGACTTGTGATATGACATAAGAATGGTCATCCTTCATGTATTCCTACAGTAATATACAAAGATTTTAATTTTGATATTCTCGATGATAAGTATAGTGCGCTAAATGAAATCAACATGAACGTGTAAAATAACAATATAACTCATTGTTTCAGTGACAAATTTGTGAACTTAAAACCTAGTAGGAAAATTAATGTCAGTAAAAATAAACATTTTAACAGTAACCTGCCTCACAAATGTTTCAAATCAATTAATTTGGTTTGGTCCTTTCACATCCCAAATACTGTATTTGTTCTATTAGTAGCGCATACTCTTACGTCAATGACGCAAGTGAGCCCACTGTCTTTCATATTGATTTTCGTGTGTCTGTAGAGGCATTCAGCAGGCGAGGTATCAAAGGGTGGCGATTGTCATGCAGTGAGTATAAAATTTCATGTAAACATCAACATATTTCACACGCAATGTATTTGTTGCATGGGACCCACATCACACCTTTTAATGATTAAGTAAATGCTATTGTTGGTTTACATGTGCTTCTAACAGATCAGATATGGTACAAGTTTTACTAGTTGTAAGTCTGCTTGATGTTAAAATGTTGATTTTTACATGGAAAAATTGGGAGGAGTTGCTATTATTTACGTCCTATTGAGATATTTGGTTATAAACAAAGCTTTTTTATAATTAGGTTCAGTTTGAATCAAGTACGTTCATTTGTAATCATAGTCACCAGGTTGTCTGTGACTTAAAAGATTCAAAAGTAAAAAAACAAGGACAAATAAAAATTTGAGTCATCTTGATATTAATATGTCCTCTCAGGAGGTTTGTAAAGGCAATCTATTCAGTTTTTTAAAAATATCAGTTAACTATATTATAATAGGTGATTTTCCGTACAATTGCGAGATCTCGTGAGATGCATGAAAGATGCACGTCAAACGTCTGCCGCAAAAATCAAACGATTTGATTTTGAACTCGAATTTCTTTATTTCGTAGCTCACATCGACCGGCCGATCTTCGACAGACAAATATTGCTTCCGAATACCCTTACTTAATCAAAATTGCCTATTATCAAATGTGGACAGCACATTACTAAGCATGGAAATGTCCCCCCAAAATACTTTCGCGTTTGTCGAATCCCACAGGATGTTTGACGCCACTACGACACTATGACCTTTGTTTGTCCTGTTTTTACGTTCAATTTCACGCATAACGTAGTGAGCGGAAAATGGTCTATTACTTTACATTGTAGGATTGACACTATAATGTGTTCAGTATTGCAGCTATGGAGATGGTTGTAAATACTCAGAAAGGTACACATTCATCAGTCACATAGTACTGTACTTGGTTTACCATGAGTAATACATACCTGCCTTGTTGAGAGCTCTACTCCTAATGATTTCAAGACTTTTTTTACATATATCGCGATGACAGCCATGACATCGGGACTTCTGACAATGTTAGTGTCCTACAGAAAATGAAAAGTTACCAATTAATGATGAACCGCACAGTTACCGTATTACCCCGGGCATGCGCCCCTCCCTGGGCAAGCGCCCACCCCCCTGTTTTCACAAGAGTTACATGTTGGGGACATCCTCGGTTAAACGCCCAGGGTGATTTTTAGCCAAGAATTAGGGCAACAATAAAGTTGTATTTGTCAAAAACGAACGTGTTTGCTTTATTTAAATAGTGTGTTTGTTACGGTAGTTCTCTTTTTGGAGTGTGTGGTGGCCCTGAAAAGGGCGTTTTGTTTGTGTTTTTACGTAAATACTCATTGGAAGAGCATTGCCAGGCGATAGGACGCGGGGCTCTTTGGCAACGACCAAAAACGTATCCGTGTCCAGCCATTGGTTGGCTACGTAGAGGTCAAAATACGCGTTCTATTTTTACGCGTTAAGTTTGGCTCTTCAGTTTCACCCCCTCCGGAATGTTCTACTTTCGCAGCCTAATCGCAGGTTTTGTCGAAAAAACACAAGAATTAGTGGAAATGTTTCTATTTGGGGCGGATTATTGATAGAGGATAATGTCTTTATTACAAAAATGCTGAAAAACCGTGAGATTTTGCCTTA